GTCAGAGAAGACTACATACTACATGATCCCAATTACATGATATTTTGGTAAAGGCAAAACTAGAGAAATAACAACAACGAAAAAAGAAATTAGTGGTTGTCAGAGATTCAGAGAGGGAGGAGAGGGATGAATAAGTAGTGCACAGGACATTTTTAGGATGGTGAAACTATTCTGTGTGATACTATAATGACAGATACATATCGCTGTGGATATATCAAAATCCATAAAACTGTACCACACAGAGTGAGCCTGAATGTAAACTATTACTATCATTCTCAAAGATCTCTTGATTCTAAACAAACAGACTTTTCAGTCCATAATATGACCTCACTGCCTAGGCATTTTTCAGTCCTTATTCACACACTGGAACTACACACTAAAAATCATGTGACTATCTTAAGGAGTCAGAAGAATTTTTTCAGAATGTTTTTTTTTAAGTTCAACATATTCAAACATTTCAGGCTTAAAAAAATAATAACTATAACCTGGAGGGAGCAAAAAGAAACTACATCTAGTAGGTCTCCTCAGATTGACATTATTATTTGGGTTTATTAATTTTAATTAATAATCATTACAGTGTACTCATTATTTACATGCCACTAATTAACTAATGTTAAAGTAGAAAATAATTTCTAAATTTGTCAGTTTGACAACCCTGCAACACTGACATTAAAAGAAATACTGCAGGATATATTAAGGATTTAATCAATTACAAATGTAGAACAGTGCATATGATGATTATAAGATATGAATGGGAAATCAATTTGTACTGTGACAATGGAAGATACAAAAGTGGTGACAAATACAGGACAAGGGAGGGGAACAGTAATAGGAGTTCGGCTTGTCAGTATTCACCTTTTAAAATTGTTTTAATTTTTGAATCATGTGAACATACCTATATTTGAAACAAAAAGTATGTATTTTATGTAAGCATAGGTATTTCTTTAAATCAACAAACAAAATACATACACATATACATATAGTTTAAAGAACAGACTAAGGTTTTTTTTTAAAGGACTTAAGGAGGGTCTCAAAATACCACTGGAAACCACATTTCTGGGTCACAGTTCTAACTGATTTCACAATTTTGGATCTTTTCCATCCCCCAAAAATTTTAGAATATTTTCCAAATTACTACAACTCTAAAAATGATGACTCTTAAAAAAAAGAAAAGACCAAGAGGATTTTTTTAAGTATTCTCCTAGGGAAGAAAGCCTTACGTTAATATAAAATATTTTATTTTTGCACTAAATATTTCTACATATACTGCTGATTAAAAATCATTTTAAAAAAAAACAAATCTTACTGAAAAAAGAAGTATTTTTCATAAAGTTCCCTCTACTGTCCCTAAATCCACTGTCTTACACAGATCTATATGCTTTACAAAACTACAGATTAACACCAAATGGCAAGTTTTCTTAAAAAAATTTTCTTAAAAAATTTTCTTAAAAAGATTTTCTTAAAAAAATCTTTAAAAGATTTTCTTAAAAAAATCTAAAATGTTGCTCTTCTGAAAAATACTTAATTATATTTACTAATATTATTTTTTATTAGTAAGTTATCTGAAAATATGCAACCCAATTCTATAGCACTTATTCTTAGGCATCTAGGTACAACACCACAGGATCTCTAAATAATTTTAGAGGCCCACAAAATTTTAATTTCTTTTAAAATAAGAAGGAAAGAAGATGAACTATTAAGTCAAAGATAATATTTTAATGGATATTAATATGCTGTCCCTATAACAATGCAGTCGTAAAATATTTCTATTATTTTTTATGGCGAAAGGGACCCATAAAGGCAAAAGTGCCAAGGGTCCATGAAACTCATAATACGGTCCTTCTGTTTACTATTTCCTATTATGTAATTATCAAGGGCAGCAAGGAAGTAAAAATACAACCGGATATGATGTAAAGCATTATTCTTATAAGAGAAATCACACACCTGAGTAAATATTGAGAGTCTGACATTTTTTAAAAAAGCTCAGTAGTATTAAAATATTTAATCCTTTCCAAACAATTGTTTATTAACAAGAGCTATAAAGAGATATCACATTCCCATAAACAAATAAATGCTTAGAAATTAATTTGGTAAGGATTTAAAGGAACTACAGAGCAGTAAGTATTAAAGAGGAAAAATGAGGAAAAAGCAAGAAAAGGGAGAGCAGAAAGGAAAAAATATTTATTAAAAGGAAAAATAGAACCACCTCTCATTATTTAACTTAGGAAAGTTGAAAATATTTCCTAATTAAATTCATATATTTAGCATAATATCAATTAAAATCCCAAAAGAATAAATGAAATATTAAGAAATATACTGAGAGAATGTTATCTAAATTTGAAAAAATAAAAAAATGAGCATGTATTTAAACCTAGTGATACTAGACAAAAACAAAAAATGGATAAATGGAAAAGTTTTTTACAGCTAGAGAGCAGATTGATGGTTGCCAGAGCTGGGTGTGGGGGTGGTCAATATGGGTGAAGGTGGTCAAAATGTACAAACTTCCAGTTATAAGTAAGCTCTGAGGTTGTAATATACAGCATGAATGGTATAGTTACAATACTTTATATTTGAAAGTTGCTAAGAGAGTAATTTTAAAGTTCTCATCACAAGAAAAAACAGGAAGAACAAATACATGTTTCTAGTGTAACAATGTTAACATGAAGAAAAATAGATCTGTTTATTATATATACATCATACATAATTTCAGATGGGTCACAAGTTTAGTTTTTAACAGGAAAATATAAAATATTTCTAGTAATGAAAGGCAGTTTGTCTTCATTTCAAGCACCTAACCAAATTATTATAAAAAGTGTCTACAAAATGAAGAATACCAAAGTAAAGATAAAAAGATAACCAATTGAGTGGAGAGAGAAGAAGGACTTTGCAAATGGAATGTTAGATAAACTTTTATCTCCAAAATACAGAGAGTTTGAGCTGGGTTGATAACTAGTCCTCAACAGACAAACCGTCACAAAATAGGACTTTAAGCAAAAAGACGCAAGTTGTACCCATTTAACCATGTGCCAGGCACTATGATAAACACTTTATACATAGTCTCATTCCAAAGTCCATGCTCTCAACCACTAAGCTATTTGCTTCTTTTCCATGTACAACATTTCATGGACCTTTCATTCTACAAATTCTAAATCAACTAGATAGACATGAATTACTCTAATATAAGACAAAACACAAATAAGAATGATTTTGATAGAGTGCTTTGATGATTCAGAGGACCATGGTATGATTTTCACTAAAGAGGATAAGGAAAGACTGTGGAAGAAATGGGCCTAGAAGGGTATGAGACACAGAGATAGAAAGAGAACTATATTCCATGCTGGAGGAACAGAAAGCTTGAGTTGAAAAACATGGTATGTGCAAGAGAAGTGGAAAATAAATGGTTCAGAGGCCTAGGAGGTTAGATTCAACTCAGTATGGAAGGTAGGGGAGTAATATAATCAGAGTTGTTGTATGGCAACTGGTCAGAAAAAGAGATAGAAATGGGAAAAAATGTCAGACAGTTAAATCACTTGTCTACGCATAGTAAGCTATGTCTCAAGTGGGGCCAACAGAAATAGAGAAAAAGGAAGAGATACGTAGCACACAGTAGTTACTCAAATTTCAATTAAATCGAGGAGCTAACAGAGTCAGAAATAACAAGACTTAATATACGAAAACGTAAAGATAACAAAGGGGATAGATGATGCCATAATGGGAGGCCACATTTCTGGGAACCTGACAGGAGGAGCAAGTTGGGGGCCAACAAAGGGCTAAAATGAAGGGGTAAAAAGGCTCTGAAGACAAACTGCCACCACCTGGTTTGGCCATGTTCAAGGACTTAACTAAGAAGACTTCATAGTACCACCACTTGAGAGATGTTAAGGAGGCAGATTGATAGAATTTAGCAATAAAATAAATGTGGAGGTGACTCTGAGATTTTAAGTGCAAATGAAAAAATAATCTTGTCGTTAACAAAAAACAAAGGAGAAAAAGTAAGTTTAAAGCAAAAAGAAATTTCAGGTTTCTAGAGGGTATGATTAGGCTCTTTAGTACAATATCCAAAAATAATGCTCTGTCACGGGACTAGTGCTTGGGTAAGAAGAAACACAGCTGAAAATACAGATGTCTCCACATAAAGATACCTCAAAGTGAGATTTCAAAATAAAAAGTATTAGAATAGTAAAAAGTATTACAGAAAAATAGGATCAAAGAAAGTTTAAGGAATAATCTGTATTTAGAAGGGAAGAAAGAAAAGCCAAAGAAGAACTGTCCAAGGTCTAAGATTATCATCAGAAGAATCAAGTATAATACAGCAGTGTTCCCTAACATTCTTCACATGAAAATACAGAAATATGACGTATCTGTGTGGCACAAAGGGGTAAATGAAGCTGTGAATAACTGGATATTATTAGCCCAGGAATTAAGGAAACCATTAATCTGGATACCGATTAATCCATTCACAGCACTGTTTAGAAAGCACTGCATTACCAAAAAGTCTGTATGCCAAAAAGTTTCAGATTCTATTTCCCTAAAACTATCTCTTTTAATAGTCACCAGTTAGTTGGATGGAATTTTGCAGATGTAATGAAGAAAAGAACTAAGAAATAACCACGAAGCTTGGTAAATGAGAATCCCCTGATGACTTTAAAAATCAGTGGAAAAAGACTAGATTTCAGGAAACAAATATGGGCAAGTGTGACTGATAACCAACATTGTGATCAGTCATGTTGCCCTAACTGATTATAAGGAGTAACCTAAATGGGATGATTCTTCAAATATTGCTAGCAAAATCATTCTCTTTCTAAACTAAATTGTGACTGTAATATGCTTTACCTTGTAATTCTTGCTTTACTCATGTTAATAAAAGAATGAAAAAAAATCCTTACCCAGTACGAGACTGACCAACTTTATCACAAATATCCAAAATGAGGCCCCAGTCCTCAGCAGTATTCATCTCACTGGTTGCTTTCTCTGTATATTACAAAAAGAAATTGCAAAAACATTATTTAAAAAAATCTTTAAGAGGTAAATAACCACATTCAAATTACCAAATTGTAATGCAATCAAGTACCAACAATAAATCAGAATACCTGTCAACCATCTGGTTAATGAAATGTTCAAATCTACCTTTAAAAGGGGATAGCTATAGGTGCACCTTTATTACCTATCACAATTATTTTCCCCATTCACATATCAGTTGCTTGCTACTTATTATAAAAAAAAGGCCACTGATTTTTCTTTAAAAAGAGTATACAGGTCTGCCCCTTTCTACACATAGAATGACTAAAATAAGAAAACTTTTCATTGTCAAATAATTCTAGTTTTACTTGGCAGTGAAAGAACATGACTTAGCACTGATCTCTGTCAAAATGTTTCAGGTAACTAAGTTAATTAATTATCTACTCTTGCTGATTTTGATTTCTGACAATGGGGAGGAGGAAAATGAACAAAAGAAAACCAAGCTTTAACTGAATATTTTCCTTTAAATAAAAACTTCACAAATTAAGAACATTAACAGACTTATGCAGGCTGAACTTAACCACTTAATTTGGTTCCCTCCCTTAATTACAATAAAAGGATTTTTTGAAAGACACACAAGGACAAGGAAAACATGAGAAGTGATAAAAGCAACAATATTTCAAAAGCTATTAACTATAGATATATAGTAACCTATCAATGTTTAAGTTTCCACAGTATATTGTAAATCCTGGAAAATAATAACAATTTCTACTTTGGGTAATTCTTTTCAGTATTCATGATATCAGCCTAAGTGCTCAATAAATACTAAATCAATCATGTAACTGCAATATGAATTCATCAAAATCATTGAAACACTTGGACCTTTAATAGCATCCACTTCAATGGTTTTCTAATTTTACTTTTCAGTGCAGAAACACTCCACAACGTAATTCTGATGTTAACTACCTAGAACTGGACCAGACTTCACAGGCTTAGGAACAGAATTCTACAAGGCTCCTCTCAAATCAGATGCAAGCAATAGTCTGTGGTTCCCAGTCCCTGTCCACCTCCTGAACTGGCTACAAGTTTAGAGGTTCCCACTACCTCCTCAGGTTTGTTTGATAATTCACTATGACAATTTACAGTACTCAGGAAAGCACTTATGACTACAGTTTTATTATAAAAATATACAAATCTTGACCAGCCAAGGAGGAGATGAATAGTACAAGGTCTGGGTAACACAGTTTTTGTGCCCCCAGCATGCATCATCCGCCTGGCATATCAATATGTATTACCAACCAGGAATCTCAACCAAGGTTCTGTGTGCAGAGTTTTTATTGGCCTTCTGTTATGGAGGAATGACTGGCCACCTCCTAGAATTCAATCTCCCGCTGTCCCCAGTCCTGGAGGTCTGGCTGATGTCATGTGATACAAAACCCCAAATATCTAATCACAAGGTTTGTCTTTGTGGAGTGACGGCTCCCAGGCTAAATCACCTCATCAGCGTAAACTAAGGTGTCATCCCAGGAGTCCACTATGAATAAGATGCTCCTATCACTCAGGAAACTCCAAGGATTTAAAGGTTCCCTCCCAGAAAACAAAGGTCAACCAAATTCTTTATTATTTGACACACTCTTTTATAAGAAAATCTTATCTTAAGAGAAATACAGTATGTAAAGCAAATCCAGGTGGAACTGCTCTAATTAAGGAGTCCCAGAGCCCTACCCAAAAGGCCCCCCACCTTTCGGAAGCCCAAGAAGATTGAGTGAGTCATCCTCAACGATCCTTCAGTCTAACATTTACTTTATGCTAGAAAAGGAAAGCAAGTTATTACTTTGACTTGATAGTATATTTAAATAATTAATTCATCATCCTTACTGACTGGTAGCCAAGCAACCTTTTTAAAAGCACAGTGCACTGTTTAAAAGAACATACTTATATCTTAAAACTGATCACCTCACTTAAAAATATAACAGCTAAGCTTACTGCAACTTATTAAAAAGTTAATAGTTAACTAGAAATGATAGGCTTATATCTGATTAAATATAAACTGCCTATTTCCACAACTGAGTATGTTCTTACAGTTCCTGAATTAAGGCATATCCAGGAGTGGCTGGTATAGTCATTAGCAGATATGCTGAACACACATGAACTACCTTCTTACTTCCCTATGATTAACATGATGAGTATCTGACTCAAACTTATACATATATAGATCAGAGATGTAACCCATTTCAGAACTCTAAAACTGTGCACATTATTTAATGATGCTGCCTCAAGATGAGTAAGAGCAGTAGCACAGTTCTTCTCAGTTATAAAACATTTTAAATCAGAATATGAACTACTAGCACCAGTTCAACATGGTCTTGTGAATAGCAAATAGAGTAAAAACTACTATTTTCTAAGACAAAAACAGGGCTTGTGGGAAAGGAAAAAGTGACCAGCAAAAATAACACAAGACTTGCTTCAAAAGAATCCAAAGCTTCATAAATGATCTCATTTTATCCTCAGATTTGTCTTACTCTAACACTCAGAAAGAAGACATTGACCAATATGCCTAAGCAGTACACAGAAAAATCAAACAGGAAACCCCATTTGAATTTCAACAGTCTTCTAAATGGATTGGAGAACTTTTTTCTGATAAGCAACTACTTCTGATTTTCCCAAAATTTATGACTACCAAAAATTTGAGGAGGTAAGAAACACTGACAGGACAATTGCCCATCATGTTCAGGCTACAGGAAAAAGACTATCATTCAATCGGCTGGGAGATTTAACAGTTCATCAAAAATGGCCAATGGGGAAAGCAAGTCTTAAAGAAATTATCCCCCCTTTGAGATTATGGTCATCAATTTTTCAAAAATGTTTTACCTAATATGTCCTGTCCCACACCCCTGCTCCCACCACCACCATGACTGGAAACTGTATCTACAAAGAAAAGTAACCTGAAGCCTTACTAACCAGAAAGGAAGTAGGGATCAAAGGAACAGCATATAAGCATCTTAGAGAAGAGCACAAAATAGAAATGAAAACTTAAAAGCATTACAAAGAATAGCTTACAGAAGTAAAACAGAAATAGAAGAAACAATGAGTATCTTATTAACCCAGTGAGTATCAGACCTTTAACCAACCTGTATTCTGAATTTTCACATTTCTCTTGAGTATGTTTTCATAGTACTGATGCCACCCCTAAGGATTTGAGTAGCCTCCAAAGGCCTCACATCCATTTCTAACTTTATTATAAGAGGTGCTAAAATATATCCATTGCTTATTATGTCAAGTACTGTTTCTAGTGTTTTACATGCATCATCTCCTTAAAAAAACTCTAATGAGGACTAAATGAAGAGAAGGCTGTCAGGGCAGAAGACACACACCTGAAAAAGCAGTAGTGTAAAACCAGTAAGGAAATATGCCTTGAGGAAAATAGTGGAAGGTGGCGCAGAAGGGGGTAAAAGGAACCAACATCTTACATGCCATGCTGAAAAGTTCAAATTCCTGTGAAAGCTGTAGATTCACTGAAATATTTTTATTACAGAAGCCATATAATTACATCTACATTTTAGAAGTATCATTATCAGACACCCAAAAAATGACTAGGGATGAACTGGAGTCAGAGACAACAGTTAGAGGCTGCTGTGCTAATCTAACAGAACAATGATGGAAACCTGCCCTACCAGTGGCAATGGGACTAGAACGGACAGGAGGCATGAATGGCAGGAGAGATGAATGGATTCAAGAGCTAACAGGAAGATAAAGCATGCAGACTACAACACAGAATCCATGAGGGCATATTCAGTGTACCTGGCACACTGTAGACAGTGTATATTTGTTGTTTGGAAAGTAAAAAATTGCAATTACAGAAGTCAAGAATGACTTCCCAGATTCTTCACATATGTGACTAAGTAAACTTAGGTACAAGTCATCAGAACAGAGAAAAAAACATAGTTGAGAAGAAATGTTTGAGCAGGATTTTGAACATGCTGAATTTGAAGCATTTTCAACTCCAGTAAAGAGTTAGAATGTCTAGAAAAAAATGTGTTTTTAAAGTATTCCTACTAGCAATTCCATGAGGTAGATGTTTTATCCCCATTTACAAAGGTGGAAAGTGAACTCAAGGAGATTCTGTACTTGCCTGGGTCCACATTTTGCCCACTTACTAATAGCATGTTGCAGCTACAATTTAAACCCAGAGTCCACTGTCTTCCATCATACCATAAGGCAGGAGAGTAATGTCACATTAACATTTATGAAGATCACAATGGCTGAGTTTTATGATACTGACCAGGCTAACAAAGTGGACTAAAAACATGTCCAAGTCTGGAGAATATGAACTGGTCAAAGCAGTCTGACTAGGAATACAAATATACAATTATAAAAACAAAGATATGATGATTTAGCAGAGGCAGGGTAGTGATTCAAAGATGCCTCCTGGGTTTCAAATCAAGATAACTAGAATATTATAAAATTGCCATATAATGAAGGAAGAACCACACACTGAAAAGATTCATTTTTCTGATAGATTAATTTTTAGATTATAACAAAACACCAAATAGAAATACAAGACAATAGATCTAGAAAAATACTAATAATTCATTACTTGATAAATACTCATTGATTGCTTACTATGTGCCAGGTACTATTCCTAAAATACTAAGAACAGAAATTAAAAGTTGTCATCCTTGTAGACTTTATATTCCACACAGGAGACAATCTATCAATTAATTAATGTCAGGTAGCTGAGTATTATAAAAGAAAAATAAAATGGAACAAGGAAACATAACTAGGGTAAAGATGGGTACTTTTTACAGAAGGTAATTAAAGAAAGCCTCTCTTAGAGGCTCATTTGACAGTCTTGAATGATGTGATAGTCAAAAAGACCTTCAAATACACGGGAGAAGTGTATCCCAGGCCGAAAACAGCACATCATAGATAGAGAGGCAAGAATGAGCTTGGAATGCTCAAACATAAGAAGCTTAGAATGAAAGTGTCTGGAGACCGCAATCTTATCAGAGACACAGGAAGGAGCTGGATGTGGGCCACAACAAGGGATTTTGTTTCCTCCGTAAGTGGAATGGGAAGCTACTGGAGGGTTCTGAGCAGGTAAGTGACATTATCTAAGATTTTTAAAAGTTCATTTACTTTTGTAGCTGAGAAATTATTGCAGGAAACAAGAGTGGTAGCAAAGATACATACTATAGGGCTCCTGCCATAGTCTATGAAGGAGATAATGAGGACTAGAGCAAGATAATAGTAGTCACATAAGAACTGATGAGATTCTGGATATATTTTTAAAGTAGAACCATAAGATCTTGCTGACAGAACAAACGTGGATTATGAATTAGAGATGAGTGACAGGAAGTAACAATGGTGCCATCTATTAGAACAGGCAAGAATGGAGGAATGAGCAGGTCTGGGGAAAGAAACCAACAATTATTATCTCTATATCCCATATTAAAGGAAAACTGAGGCACAGTTATCTAAGCAACTAGCCCAAAGTCACACTGCTGGTAAGCAGCAAACCTGGACACTGACTTCCGGCAGTACAGCTCCTGAGTCTGAATTCTTAATGCTAAGCTAAATCGCCTTCTAGACTCTAAGGGAAAAAAAGGTTGAGGCTCAGTTCAACATTTGGAAGTCAAAAAAAGGAGAAGCCAAAATAACTAAAAAAGAGCTAAGCAGACAATTAGAAAAAGTTTGGTGTCCTGGAAATGAAGTGAATTAAGTATAACAAAGAGGAATGCTAAATGATCGACAAAGAAATAGATTAGGAGTTGACCATTAGATTTGGCAAGATGGAATTCAGTAGGGACTATGAAATAAAAAGCCTGATGGAATGAGCTACCTTTGTAATTCAAGAGTTGAATTTAGCAAGAAATAGAACATAGAAAATGAGATTAATTTATTCAACAAATGTTTACTTAGTATTTATTAGTGCTAAACACCAGTCTGCATGCTGGGAATATAGTACTAAACAAGCCAAACAATATCCATGTCATCATGGAGCTCACATGCTAATAACATGTTAACTATGATCAGTATTCTTCCTCTTTTTATGAAATATTGTATTACATAAATCAGTTACTAAGTTTCTGATTCACCATTTCAGTTTATGAATAAAGCTGAAGACAATTTTGAAGAAGTACAAAAGTACACTAAAGTTAAGTGGTAAATAATTTTACCAAATGAGTTAGTAGGAGTACTTTAATATCATTGGCATACTCAATAGACAAAGCTAGAAGGAATATTGTTACACGTATTCTACATACTGTTTTCCACATGCTACAAAGTGAAAAATTTAAGGCAAGTCTATTCAACTCTCTCCAGGAATTATTTACTAGGAGTCTCTGACTAGGTCTTCTTAGATAGCCTTCCATGATATTCTGATACATGGATCATGAGAACAGAATTGATTCAAATACAAAAACCTGACCAACTTTAAACAGTTAGCTTTCCTGGAACAAAACAGTGTCCCTACACTCAAAAAACTTAATGACTAGCAGACTCAATTGACAGATTCTCAAGTCAACATTTATTAAGCACCTACTATGCAGTAACCAGTAAAATAATTAAGAAGCATAATACAGAGTATAACTGTCTTAATGCTAAATAACTTGGTAAAGACCAAAAGTGTTGCAGGAATTTTTTAAAAGGATGGAGATTAAAGTGCCTAGAGAACTGGTTTTCAAATGGGAAGTATTTTATGCCTCCAAGAGACTTTTAGCAATGTTTGGAAACTTTTTAAATCATGCCAGTGCTAATGACATCTGGATGGTAGAGGTCAAGGAATGCTGCTAAACACCCTACACTGGACAGGATAGACCCCCACAACACAGGTATTTATCTGGTCCAAAAGTCAACAGTGTCACTACGGGAGAAAACCCGGGCAAGAGCCAGGAAATGATTCAGGTATAACAAGCTGAATTCTGAGTTGACCTTTTAGCATGAGAACATGTAGAAAGGTAGACGAAATAATAGAAGCAAAAGTATAAAAGCAAAAGGAGCCTGTGTTTGAACTGTGTGGTGTAGGTCCTGGGAAAAAGGTATGACATTAAGAAAGTTATCTGAATCCAACAGAAATGTGTGTTCAAAAAGGTAACTGGAGAGTTGGAAGCTAGATTATATACAACCATGAAAACTAGATAAATGCTGGAAACAGAGAAAGCAGATATTAAGAAATTGTTTTATTCTAAGTATTTGCCGTAAGAATTAATAAGCTGTAAAACTGCTTGAGCAGAAATGTCTTATTCATCACTATCACTGAGCAATGTCCTGTAAATAGTGTGTTGTACAAACTTACTAAATTAAAAGCAATTTTTCAATTATTTTTTAAGTATTATTGGTGATCTCTAAAGTTTCATTCATTGTGAAGATTCAGGACATTCATTTTCACTCGAACTACAAAAAACTACTAAATAGAGGCACTACAGCAGACCTTCTACACATTATTTCATTGAATCACATACAGAATGTGTTTTTCCCCTCTTTAAAGATGAAGACACTGGGACTCTAAGAGCTTAAGTAACTTGCCCAGTTTGCTCATTCTTAGCTAGGCAGTAGCAGAGATAGGACTGAACCTTTTTCTAGTCTTAACCCAAACCTCCAGCTTCAACAATAGGCTGTAAAAGAGTTCAAAAGCAAAAGTCAACACCCACCTTTCATAATTAAAATATCCAAAGATACATAAAGCAACTCTATAAGGCTGTCCTAACGCTTCTTTAGTACACTAAAATTAGACATGGCATCTGGCTTGCCTTTATTCCACACCTGTGTACCAAGTTAGTTTCTAAGGGCATTAAAATCACTCCAAAATTCTCTGGGACCAGAAAAAAACTAAAAAGCTAACCTGTTGAATTGGTATGTTCAGTACCTAAAACCAATGGTTCAGAAAACCCAAAAAACAGCATTTCAAAATCAAACAAATTAGCTTTTCAAATTCGAGGTCCTCTTCCACACTTTACTTAAAGTACTGACATCTAGCCTAAAGATGGCAGTCCAATGGCTCAGATCTAGAATTCGGTTTCAGTTGTTGCAAGTATTCCATTTTCATGTCTCCCAACATTTTTGAGTCTACTCTTCACCAGAAGCTCTTTCCTCCTGTTAAGAGTTCCAAAAAAGATTTAAAGATCCTCTAAGGAGCTAACCTGTAACATTCTCCTAGTTCCAAAAGCTTAGCTAATATTTGATCAGGCAACTTTATCATAGGGTTTACAATCCTACTCTAAGTAAGATATTCCTACCCTAGGTAAAATACTCCTCAGTTCTTAAATCTGTTCTTCCAGAAGCACGGGCCCAGCACGAGATGCTACACCAGCTGTTCCTCCGAGGCCCTCTACATCAATCCTTTAAGTAGGTTTTGCAAAACCCACAATCCTAACTCAAGGCCCATTTCGCAGGCTGTCTTGAGTCCTATTTCTTTCAAAAACGATGCGCCAAGCCCCTAACCTCCTCCAAACTCTACAAGGTGCCTCGGGAAGGAGAACCTGGCCCTGTCCGGAGGTCCAGAACGCGGGCACACAGCGGTCAGAGTGGGCGTGTGTCCGGAGGGGGCTGACACCGAGCGGCGAAAGGACTCACCAACATCCTGATCGAAGGGATTGGTGGCAAAGAGAGGCATCGCCACTGCGTGCCCAGGTGTCCGCAGGGACTCCCCCTCGACACCACCGGAGTCAGGGTGTGACGTAGGAAGGAAGTCTCCTCAAGCAAAATCAGCAACACAGACAGACTCCTCAGGGTCTACGACAGCTCCGGCTCTCCCTGACCCCCAGCAACGACGGCGGCAGCGACGGCGACGGCGGCAACAGCAAAGAAGCCGAGAAGGCCCCCCGCCTAGAGCCTGTCGGGAATTTGGGAGAGCACAGCGCTGCCTGACCAAAATCGACCCAGAACTTGTCCCGCCAAAACAGCCCCAACCACACAGCTCTTCCGCCTGACTTCCCTTTTGACTAGTCCTGCAAGAGAGCGGGAGCAATACCTCTATTTTCTGCTTTTGCCATAGCCAGGACTCTCCGGAGGACGGGGTCCTCCAGGCGCGCCGAAGCCAACCAGCGAGCCCGGGAGTGAATCAGAGACAGAAAGAAGGGTCGGTTTGGGTTTGAGCAAGACCCCCGCCTTCTTCCTCACTCCGTTGTCGTAACTTCGTGGTTCCCTAGAAAAGGGATGGAAATTTTCATCTGGGGTCACCTAAGTAAAAAGCCCATGGGTTCAGTTCTCTGTCTGAGGTGACAAGAAACTTGCTTGGACGAAGTCATGTGAGCGGCACGGACTGGCTTGAATCCGCACAGAGGGGAGTGTCAGGGCGCGCGCTCCTAGGAGAGGCTGAGGTAACGCTGGCACCTTCGAGAGTCCCTGAACGCCCGGCTTCAGAGTCCCTGTCGAAAGCACTTGTAGTTGGGCGTTGGCAGCTGCTGACTGACTGTGCAGTCACAGCAGTTGTAGTGATTGGAAAATAAGTTTAACAAGCCAAGTATGTCCACAATAGCCTCCCTCCTAAATCGAGCAAAAACAGAAAACCGAGAAATGTGGTTAGAATTTGGTTAGACTCCTGACAACGTAAAATGGTTATTTAATAATTTTATTAATAAGTTTATTTGACAAATTAAGTAATTCTCTGTCATAGAAATGTTAAGGAGCATCTACTAGAGATTTTTGCATCCCACTCAGAACAAGTTAGAGCATCTTGCACGCATGTACATTATACCCAAATTAGAGCACTTCCAGATGTAGCATGTAAACAAATACTACCAGAGAGCCCACTTTCACACTACTATTTAATATTATAATGGTGGTCTTAGTACTAAAGTCGAGATAAAAAGAAAAGGAATATAGGCTTCAGACTTCACTTTGGCCAAGATGGAATAACAGAGACTAGATTTATCCCACCCACCGCCCCGCCTGGGACAACTGAAAAGCTGGATAAAATATATGAACAAAAGTTTTCATGACACTGGATATCTGGAGCAAATAAAAAAACTAAAAAGCTAACCTGTTGAATTGGTATGTTCAGTACCTAAAACCAATGGTTCAGAAAACCCAAAAAACAGCATTTCAAAATCAAACAAATTAGCTTTTCAAATTCGAGGTCCTCTTCCACACTTTACTTAAAGTACTGACATCTAGCCTAAAGATGGCAGTCCAATGGCTCAGATCTAGAATTCGGTTTCAGTTGTTGCAAGTATTCCATTTTCATGTCTCCCAACATTTTTGAGTCTACTCTTCACCAGAAGCTCTTTCCTCCTGTTAAGAGTTCCAAAAAAGATTTAAAGATCCTCTAAGGAGCTAACCTGTAACATTCTCCTAGTTCCAAAAGCTTAGCTAATATTTGATCAGGCAACTTTATCATAGGGTTTACAATCCTACTCTAAGTAAGATATTCCTACCCTAGGTAAAATACTCCTCAGTTCTTAAATCTGTTCTTCCAGAAGCACGGGCCCAGCACGAGATGCTACACCAGCTGTTCCTCCGAGGCCCTCTACATCAATCCTTTAAGTAGGTTTTGCAAAACCCACAATCCTAACTCAAGGCCCATTTCGCAGGCTGTCTTGAGTCCTATTTCTTTCAAAAACGATGCGCCAAGCCCCTAACCTCCTCCAAACTCTACAAGGAGCCTCGGGAAGGAGAACCTGGCCCTGTCCGGAGGTCCAGAACGCGGGCACACAGCGGTCAGAGTGGGCGTGTGTCCGGAGGGGGCTGACACCGAGCGGCGAAAGGACTCACCAACATCCTGATCGAAGGGATTGGTGGCAAAGAGAGGCATCGCCACTGCGTGCCCAGGTGTCCGCAGGGACTCCCCCTCGACACCACTGGAGTCAGGGTGTGACGTAGGAAGGAAGTCTCCTCAAGCAAAATCAGCAACACAGACAGACTCCTCAGGGTCTACGACAGCTCCGGCTCTCCCTGACCCCCAGCAACGACGGCGGCAGCGACGGCGACGGCGGCAACAGCAAAGAAGCCGAGAAGGCCCCCCGCCTAGAGCCTGTCGGGAATTTGGGAGAGCACAGCGCTGCCTGACCAAAATCGACCCAGAACTTGTCCCGCCAAAACAGCCCCAACCACACAGCTCTTCCGCCTGACTTCCCTTTTGACTAGTCCTGCAAGAGAGCGGGAGCAATACCTCTATTTTCTGCTTTTGCCATAGCCAGGACTCTCCGGAGGACGGGGTCCTCCAGGCGCGCCGAAGCCAACCAGCGAGCCCGGGAGTGAATCAGAGACAGAAAGAAGGGTCGGTTTGGGTTTGAGCAAGACCCCCGCCTTCTTCCTCACTCCGTTGTCGTAACTTCGTGGTTCCCTAGAAAAGGGATGGAAATTTTCATCTGGGGTCACCTAAGTAAAAAGCCCATGGGTTCAGTTCTCTGTCTGAGGTGACAAGAAACTTGCTTGGACGAAGTCATGTGAGCGGCACGGACTGGCTTGAATCCGCACAGAGGGGAGTGTCAGGGCGCGCGCTCCTAGGAGAGGCTGAGGTAACGCTGGCACCTTCGAGAGTCCCTGAACGCCCGGCTTCAGAGTCCCTGTCGAAAGCACTTGTAGTTGGGCGTTGGCAGCTGCTGACTGACTGTGCAGTCACAGCAGTTGTTGTGATTGGAAAATAAGTTTAACAAGCCAAGTATGTCCACAATAGCCTCCCTCCTAAATCGAGCAAAAACAGAAAACCGAGAAATGTGGTTAGAATTTGGTTAGACTCCTGACAACGTAAAATGGTTATTTAATAATTTTATTAATAAGTTTATTTGACAAATTAAGTAATTCTCTGTCATAGAAATGTTAAGGAGCATCTACTAGAGATTTTTGCATCCCACTCAGAACAAGTTAGAGCATCTTGCACGCATGTACATTATACCCAAATTAGAGCACTTCCAGATGTAGCATGTAAACAAATACTACCAGAGAGCCCACTTTCACACTACTATTTAATATTATAATGGTGGTCTTAGTACTAAAGTCGAGATAAAAAGAAAAGGAATATAGGCTTCAGACTTCACTTTGGCCAAGATGGAATAACAGAGACTAGATTTATCCCACCCACCGCCCCGCCTGGGACAACTGAAAAGCTGGATAAAATATATGAACAAAAGTTTTCATGACACTGGATATCTGGAGCAAACGACAGTGATTTCTGAGAGATGGGACACAAATGAACTGAGCCTTATGATTGCCCTAGCTTGCCTCCTGGATAGATTTTTCAGGTCAGGGCATAGACTGTCAGTCTCCTTGAGATGTGGACATAGAGCTGGGAGTCCAGAGGGACCCACGCTGTCAGGGTTTGCAGGGCAGAGTACTGGAGGCATTCTGGAACACATATACCTGTCATCTAACAAGATAAAAGAAATTGTCTGGCATCTGATCAAAAATTACCAAGGTATCTACACGAAACCTACTTTAAATATAAGACTATATTGTGGCATATAAAGATAGAACATGCTAACACTATTTTAGAGAAAGCTGGAATAGGTGTATTAATATCAAAGTAGGTTTCAGATCAAAGAATATTACCAGAAATACAAAATGTCACTTTATAATGAAAAAGGGGTCAAATAATCAGAGAACATGACAAACCTAAAGGGTTTTACATATAATAATAACATTTCATAGAATACAAAACAAAAACTGATGGAACTTCTAGAAAAAATAGCTCCACAATTATGTTTGGAAATTTCAACTCCCCTGTCTCAAAAGTGATAGAATAAGTAGGCATAAAATCAGTAAGGTCTTTAGAAGATTGAACAATACTATCAACCATCTTAAATTAATAGAACATTACATCTGATGAAAACTGAACACATACTCTTTTCAGGCACATACATTTATCAAGATAGAGAATATTCCAACCCATAAAACAAATCTCAAATTTAAAATGATTTAAGTCATATAAAGTTTTCTGACTACAATGGAATTAATTTAAATAACAGGATATTTAAAGGTCCCCAGATATTTGGAAACTAACATGCTTCTAAATGACCCATTGGCCAAAGGAAAAATAAAGATGGAAATTAGAAAGTATTTGAGTGGACTGAAAATGAAACACAAGATATCAAAATTTGCAGGCAGAAATTAAGACAGTATTTATAGGGAGCGTATGTACTAGAAAAGAAGAAAGGTCTCAAATTAATTATCTCACCTTTCATTTTAAGAATCTAGGAAAAATAGTAAATGAAATCCCAAGTAAGCAGAAGAGAAATAATAAACGAGAAGAAAGCAATGAAAAGAAAATAGAAAAATAAGGAAAATAAAAGCTAGCTTTTTCAAGAGATCAATAAAATTGATAAAACAAGACTGATGAGAAAAAAAGGATACAAATTACGAATTTCAGGAATGAGAGAAGTGACATTAAATGATAAAGGTACCAAAAGGATAATAGGGAATATTGGAACAAACTTTGTACCTATAAACCAGATAGCTTAGAGGAAATGGCTAATTGCTTCAAACGCACAAACTACTAAAGCTCATTAAAGAAATATTTAATCTGAAGAGCTCTATTCTTAATAAAGAAATGTAATTTCATGTTTAAAAACCTTCAACAAAATAACTTCAGGCCTAGATGGCTCCACAAATCCCCTAGAAGGGGATTACAAAGCAGTTGAAGGAAATCTGGGGGTGGAGGGTGTTGATAGACTTATCTAGTCATTAGTGAAATGAACATTAAAACCACAGTGGGATAGCACAACACACATATTAGAACATGTAAACTTTCAAAGACTGATATTAGAACATGTAAACTTTCAAAGACTGAGCCTATCAAGTGTTGGCCAGGATGTGCAGCAACTGAAACTCTTATATAGCTGATGGGGATGTTAAATGGTACATTATTTGGTAGTGGTGATAATTTCATGGATGTATGCATAGGTCAAGCCTAATCGTTCATTTTAAATATGTGCAGATTATTCTGTAATTATACCTCAATAGAGCTGCTAAAAATCACAGAAATTATATCCTTTGTAACAATTTATAATTATGATGAAAATTTTTTAGAGTTATGATGAAAAATTTAAGTGAAGGTTAAAGTGTTAAAAAAAAACCCTCAGCCCATTCCTCAACAACTAGATTGCTCCATTTCCCCAGCCTCTCCTAATAGATAATTCTAGAACAGCTGCTGCTGCTGACTGACAATTTTAACATCTTTTTTTGAGCAGATTGGACCAATCTGTCTATTGCCAGGGTCTATAAATAGTCTTTTCACAACAAAGATAGTTTTATAATAAATATAAATTCCCTTGATTTATTATAGCTCAATTTATAACTTCTCCTTTTGCCCCCTTTACTATGATAAAAATCATATTTTCTTTAACCTAATAACCATCAAAGACTGGGTGACTTGGATTAGCAACACTCACTAGCTAGTAATTCTGCCAAATTTACAGTTGGTGTATCCTGCAGGATCTTTGAAAATGAAGACCTCACCAAGGAATCTGCTTCTCCTCAGCACTTGGAATTCAAATACTTTTTTAA